CTTTTAATTTTGGGTAAGAGGATTTAAACTCAAGATTGAGAGTCTTATACTTGTTTGGTAGGTGCTCTATCAGAGCCATGACTATAGGTTTCTTTTCTCTTTTTGATTAACACATTGTTCATCAAATTCAGAGTAGAAAGCAAAGTCCAAAATAATTGTAAAATTTATCCAGATTGAACAGAATGTAGAAACAGGAGTCCATTCAGTACTGGGGTGATTTTGTTAGCATGTATATGTATATCAGTTCTCTTAAGGTTCAGTCTATGTCTGGTTACTTCATGTACTTGGCAGAACATCATGGTGAGCAGAATGTGTGGAGGTAGAGGTTGTTTACCTCATGGCAGACAGGAAACAGACAGCCTAATGTCACAACTGGGGGCCAGGTGTAACATTCAAACACAAGCTCTTAGTGATCTACTTATTGCCATGAGGCTCCACCTCTTAATTTTTCCAAACTTCCCAAAATAGCATCACCAACTGGAGACAAAACATTCAGTAAGTGAGCCTGTGTAGGATACTTCATCTCCTAACCATAACATCTCTTGCTTGTAAAGATCTTTCCTTAAAAATTCACCGTCAATGTTTAGATTTAAAGCAATTATGTACTAGGTAAGAAGGGCCATGCAAAGAGGAAACATAAAATTTCCTACCTTTATAAGGATTATTTGGATCTCTTTTCTCAGCTCAATTTAAAGCCTCCTTTTCTGTAATCTGTCTATTATTGTTCCCTTCTCAATCCCTTATTGTTAGAGTGCTCCCCCCACCCCCCCACCCCCAGTCCTGGGGCTCAAACACAGGGCCTGGGCGCTGTCCCTGAGCCTCTTTATGCTCAAGGCTAGTGTTCTACCACTAGAGCCACAGTGCCACTTCTGGCTTTTTCTGAGTAGTTTATTCGACTTAAGAGTTTCATGGACTTTTCTGCCCTGGCTGGCTTCAAACCATGATCTTTATATCTCAGTCTTCTGAGTACGTAGGGTTACATGTGTGAGCCACTGGTGCCCAGATGTTAGAGTGCTTTTTAAGTTGCTGATTAAATTGTTGAGGGGACCGGGGAGTTGGGGGGGAAGAAGTCAGCTTCTGATCTGAGAATTAACAATGCAGTTGAGTAAGCAGAGTTCCCAGGGAAGGTGAAGTAGAAATAAAAGGGAGTATGCATGTTGGCATTAAATAAACTCCTATGTCAGTCAAAGGTAGGACTGGTATCTTTACTGGAACTTTATACTGGAACTTTTTTTTTTCAATATTAATCTTTATTTTTTTTTATTGTGAAAATACTGTACAGAGGGCTTACAATTACATGGGCAAGATAATGAGTACATTTTTTTTCTTTTTTTTGGGTCCGGTCGTGGGGCCTGAACTCTGGGCCTGGGTGCTGTCCCTCAGCTCTTCTGCTCAAGGCTAGCACTCTACCACTTGAGCCACAGCACCACTTCCAGCTTTTTTTTTTCTGCTTATGTGGTACTGAGGAATCGAACCCAGGGCCTCATGCATGCAAGGCAAGAGCTCTACCACTGAGCCACCTTCCCAGCCCCCAGAACTAAAATTTTAACTTCAATTTTAAATTAAATAGCTACACATGGCTGATGCCTACTATACTGAACAGTAGTATAGGCTTGGTTCAAGAAGGTGTCAATAGTTAAATAAAACTTTTGTTACCTGCAGAAAAGGAAGACTTGAAAGCTGATAATAAATAAAGGTGATCAGGAGACAAAAAAGCATGATTAAGTTGTGCTCAACTCACATGAGGGTGGGACAGTGCTGAGTGACAGGATGGTGGAGAGGACAGTTATTGGTACTACATTGACAAGCAGCTTCCAAACTTGTCCACACAATCACTTCAGCTGCATGTGGGGCAGCTGAGAGTTCTGATTTGAGCTGTAAGTAATGGAAAATCATTGATCACTTCTGATGAATGGATAATATTAATTCTTATTTTATGTTAGGCATTATGTTGAATGCCTTACATATGTCATTTGGTTTTTAACAACTTTTTTTAAGGAAAAAAAGGTAAAAGGGAAAGGTAACTAAATTTATTAAGATCCTTGGAGAAAGAAGTTGGAACAAGAATAGATTTGTCTGTTTGGAAATGAAAGGACTGAGGAAGAATAAAACAGCTTAAAGAAATTAACTGAAAGTCTTCCATACTTTGAGGTAGGTCAGATCCTTTCTGGCTCTAATAAGAGAGTGAGAGAGTTGACAGAGAGGGAAGGAAGACCTGGACTGGGAGGAATTCAGTCAGCAGACTCCAGGGCTGTCTTGGGAAGGGAGAAAAGACTCTTGGTTCTTTTTGGGTACCTGGGAAAGTTCACAAAATGAATTGTGGAAAGAACATCTTTGAAGGGAATGATAAGGTGGATGGAGCTGGATTTTAAAAAAATCTAAGTGAAACAGGGATTAAATCATGTCAAGAATGCAAAATGGGGTGAACAGGGAGGCAAAAGATCTATAATAGGTTGGCTGAGGTTGTCCTTATCAGCACCATAATTTATCACATGGTTATTATGGACAGTTAGCGAAATTATCTCATTTACTCTATCTTACAGTATGGTGTGGTATTATTCAATCCAATTGTTTCCAAAATATGTTTCTTAAGTTTTAGCCAAGATTTATTTCAGTGTAACATTTACAGTAGGGAAATGGGTTCCTATAGGTAGCTTTTATACTTTCTGAGCTGGGTAAATTATATAATGATATTTTTTCTAGCAACTCCTAACACTTAGACAGTGGTTCTGGTTGGGTAAAATGGGTGAAGCCTACCCAAAACCTCAGGAAAACTTCAGAACTTTCCTTCTCCAAACATATATTTAGTTCCCAGAATTTACTTTTTCAAATGAGAAGGCAGGTTTAGATATAGCCTCCTGTATCTCCTAGCGAATAGCTTAACATAAACAAGGTGGTACAGGCTAGGTGCTGGTAGCTCACATCTGTAATCCTAGCTACTCAGTAGTCTCAGGAGGCTGAGATCTGGAGAACTGACCTGTGAAGCAAGTGGGCCCACAGAAAAGTCCTCAAGACTCTATCCCCAATTAACTACCACAATACTGGACTGGAGGGGGTCTTGAGTGGTACAGTATAATTCCCAAAGAGGCAAACAAACAGGGCTAGAGTAAAGGCAAAGTAAAAAGGGCTAGAGTAGGGGCTGGGAAGGTGGCTCAGTGGTAGAGCACTTGCCTTGCATGCTCAAGGTCCTTGGGTTCAATTCCTCAGCACCACATAAGAAAAAAAAAAAAGCCGGAAGTGGCACTGTGGCTCAAGTGGTAGAGTGCTAGCCTTGAGCTGAAGAGCTGAGGGACAGCTCCCAGGCCCAGAGTTCAAGGCCCCACGACCGGACCCCCCCCCCCCCCAAAAAAGGGCTAGAGTACCTGCCTATCAAGCATATAGCCCAGAGCTCAAAGTCCAGTATCGCCCCAAAAACTAACCAAAACCAAAACAATGTTAAGCATTATCTCGTGTTTCTAAGCACAATAAAAGATGTTCCAGCTGTCTACAACAGCTTCTCCCTAATAGCCACATTTGCTATTTCCCTCAATACATTTATTATAGGCAGTCAGATATATTATCTCATTTAGTCCACCTAATATAGTTCATTCCAGTTGTTTCCAAATTATTTTAAGGGGCATTAAGGATCAAAAAGGCTATCACCTTAATTAAATGGGAAGAGGAAGAAAAACATTGCCTATCAAGGCGGTGATAGCATTCTAGGCAAGAAGCTGATGGCATGGCCTGCCTTCAAGATTTTATGTAAGCAGTGCAGACAAAAAAATACCATTTCAGTGGTGTAAAAACAAACGAAAAAAATCCCAATTCATGTAGGTCAAAATAGGTAGATGAATTAGCAGTGGAGGTAAGATAGAGGTTACAATAATGTGATGGTGGCAGGGACCCCACCCTCTAAGGATCCGTGTGAACTGAGACCATCAGGAAGAGAAAGATGTTAGTTTCCCAGATCTGGGAAAGGGCAGGTGCAGAGGATATAAGATAAGAATTAGCTAGACTCCAAGTTAACCAAGGCATGAACTTTGGGAGTAAAGCTAAGGTTAGAGGCACGGTACTAAACCAGGGCAAGGATCTGTGCAAAAAGCAACTCAATTCGATGCAGTGGACTGATGCTCCTTTGGGACCCGTCCTCGAAGTTGCCAGGCACGCGGTCCCAGGACAAGACGACCAGTCAAAGACTTCCAGCCAGGCTGACGGGGAGGAGTTCTAAGCAGAGGGGAGTATGGCCTCCTGGGTGTCCCAAGCGCCAAGGTGGCATAGACCGCCTGCGGAGCCCGCCAGGACAGGCCAGCAGCTTCCAAACTCATCCTGAGAATCACCCTGGCCTCCAAACAGCGCGTAACCCCCCCCCGCCCCCCCCCCCCCCCCGCGCCCCATATCTCCCGCCCCCGGAGGAGCCTGGCTGGCTCTTGCATCCGGGGAGGCGGGTTCTTCTACCCAAACTTCTGAATGTCGTACTTTTTTCTTGGAGAGCGACGCGGGAGACGTCAGAAGCCGAGGCCAGGATGAAGTCCTACGGAGAATATCCCTTTTAATTTCCGCCTTCTTTCACCCCCCGGCCCCGCCTCACGGCTCTCTCGAAACATCACTCTTCTGGGTAGGCTTTCCAAGTCACCTCCCCCTCCAACAGCGAACCCATTGGTTTGGCCCCGACACACAGATTGGCTGGAGGTTTACGCCTCGGCCAGTGATTGGACGACGCTACTTTCTTACCTATTCACCGCGCCTATTGGTTCGTCTTCCCCGTTTCTGGGCGAGTGGCCGGGGACGGTTTCCACCCCCTTGTTTACGGGCCGCGTAGTGGTGGCGCTCTCGGAGAGCTGAGGGTGTCTCCAAAGTTCCCTGTTTAGTAACTTGGACCAATCGAGTCCCCGCTCCACCTTCGGCCTCTCCCTCTCACGCCTGCCCCGTGGTACGGCCCACACCTAAAGCGCCGCGGCGCGTGCGGACGCCGGCTGCGTCTTTCCGCCGGCGCTCGCCGGGCTGCTCCCCTCCTTTTGAGGGCGCTTTTGGTACGGCCCGCGCCGCCACCTTCCTTCGCTGGGGAGGCTGACCCCCTCCCAGTTGGCGGCTCTTGGTGCCGCCCGGGAGAACCAGGTCATCGGCCAGTTCCCGTGAAAACAAAAACAATCGGCGGCGCCGCCGCCGGCACCCGAACGCGGCGGGCCGAGGCCAGGGACGCGGCGCCTGGTGGGTTTGGGTGGGCGAGCTGGTGAGCGGGAGCAGCGGCGGGAGGCCGGGGTGCCATGGGGCAGGTGGGCACGGGCTGCGCGGGGCTCCCCCGGCGCCGGGGCTAGCGCGCCCGCCGCCTCAGCCGTCCTCGCCGCCCGCCTGGGGGACGAGGAGCAGGAAGCGGCCCCGGCGGGGCCCGGGCCGAACGGCTGCGGATACCCGGGCGCCGGAGAGCCGAACGCCGCCGCCTCCGGCATGGATCAGTGCGTGACGGTGGAGCGCGAGCTGGAGAAGGTGCTGCACAAGTTCTCGGGCTACGGGCAGCTGTGCGAACGCGGCCTGGAGGAGCTCATCGACTACACCGGCGGCCTCAAGCACGAGATCCTGCAGAGCCACGGTGAGGAGGCCGGGTGGGCGCGCGGCCCTTCGCGGCCCCGCAGGCGGGAGCCCCTCGTCCGGACGTCCTCGTGCCTCAGAGCCGGGCCCCTGCTCCCCGAGGCCCGGAGAACCCCAGGCCCGGGTTGGCTGGCCCTCCTCGCGCTTGGTTCACCTCGCGCCCCGGGCCACCTGGCCATTAATTCAGAGTGTCCCAAGCCGGCTTCAGGGTGCCTGGCGGGCCGTCCCCCCCCCCCCCCCCGCCTGCAAACTGCCGCCTTCCCCCCCCCCCCCCCACTCGGCCTGGGGGCGTCTAAGGTGGTCGGTCCTGTGAGCCGCGGGGGCTAGGAAATAGCGTGGGAGCCAAGGGTCCGAGTGATGCAGGGAGTCAGTGCAGGAAGCCCGGAGAAGCCGTTAGGTCCTTGGCTCCAGAACTTCCTAAATGTGTTTGTTAGAAAGTTGAGGGTTGTTCTCAGCTATGGGCAACTTCATAATTTGGTTGATGTGTAGGAGCAGCTCTTTTGAACTCCTCAGTGATGCTGACCGGATTACCAGGAAACCAGTTGAGTCAAACCATTCAGTTCTCCCTGTGTCGCCACCAATGAGGCAGAGGAAGCAGTTGGCCCACAAATCATAGTTACTTGCCTTACCTGATCCGGTTTGTTCTTGTTTTTCCTTTAGAAAACTCTTTTTCCATAGAAAATGTGCCTAGATTGTTGCCCTAGACCCTGGGGACAGATATTTTGTCAGAGTTAATTGTGGAAGCTGGTTGAGGTTTGTGTTTTTGTGTTGTGTGTGTGTGTGTGCGCGCGTGCGTGTGTGCGCCTATCTGTCTGTGTCCATCTGTGTGCGTCTGTGTTCCAGGGCTTGAACACAGGGCCTGGGAGCTGTCCCTGAGCTTTTGCCTTCTTACCTGTGGGCTAGATTTAGGTAAGGAAGGGGAGGTTTGATTGCTCTGGAGAAACGCAGATTTTTTTTTTTTTTGCAGGTGAGTTTGAGGCAGTGTCATCAGTTGAGCTTCTTTCTTCTGCTGCTTTGCTTTACTTTTCTACTGCTGCTTTGCTTTGCTTTGCCCATACTGACTTTGAGTTGAGGCTGAGTGCTTGTCTATGGTAAAGGAGTCTTATTCTGGACACAGCAATCACTTTGGAACTCTGGATGAAGCAAACCCTCCACCATGGTGCTTAAAAATATGAACATGGAAAACCACTTGTATTATAGTAAGAGTTACCTTATAAATATACGGGAAAAAGACAGGTGTTGATGAAACAGAGCTTGTATCATGTGAAAAGAAATTTAAGTTGGTGATGGTATAGTTAGTTGGCACAAATGGGGAAGTAAGTTGGTCTGGGAGGGAATCCTGGGAAGATTGGTGCATTTGGTTTTAGACTCATAGGTTGAAGTGGAAGAGTTTCATGAAGATGGAATAAAGATCTTCAGAGACAATGGGTTTGTTCTGTGACCTCATTTCTGAGAGGACCGTGAGAATCACTTAAGACACCAGGAGAAAAGACTTTGGGGTCTAACCACAACTTTGAACTCTCCTTAATGGAAAGTAAAGTAGAAAGAGCCAGGTAGAAAAAAGGGCTTGCTGGGGTGTTGTTTGGCTATTTGGGTGGGAGTCAGTAATCCTTTGTAGAGTTGTTAAACCAGATTATTGATGGTTAAGAAGTATGTGATGCATACTTACATAAAAGGAAACCCAATGCAGTGGTGAAAACATTCCCTCCTCTTAGAAGAAAGCTGTGGCTTACTAGAATGAATGAATGAATGAATGATGTCTCTTAGCTTTCCCATTTGAGGACCAGATTGGAGATTAAGGGGTTGGACAAGCAGGGTTTAAGAAGGAGAATGAAGTATCCCCATAAGAGAGAGGACATTGGAAGAGGGATTTGTGTGATTGTGAGCTTTGTTTTGGGTAATGTAGGTCCAGCCCAGGGAGGATAAAATGGTAGTGAGAAATTGCCAAAGCAGGAATTTTATTTAGACTTCTTGGTTTGATATTGGGAATTTTTTTTAGGAATTTATGGTGAGAACAGTATTAGCCACATAGTCTGAACAGAACAGCCTGAGTTGGTGAATTGTTTGTTCTCTGACTTTCAACCTGTTTTTTTTTTTTTAAACCTTCTTGCTTAATAAATTTCTAGTTTGCCATGACATCTCTTTGATTTCCTTTAATTCTTTAATTAGGATTAAGTGATTAAAGGTAGTTATTAAACATGAAAGCAAACAAATATCACAAGTACTGGGTTTGGCTTCTACAATAACAATCTTTTTGTATCCTTTTGTGTGATGATGTATTTGAATTATGGTATTTTCAAACAGCTAATTTCTCTATTTTTTGCCAGTCCTGGGGCTTGAACTCAGGGCCTGGGTGCTGTCCTTAAGCCTCTTTGTGGTCAAGGCTAGTGCTTTCCACTTGAGCTAAAGTGCCACTTCCTGCTTTTTCTGCATAGTTTATTAGAGATCAGAGTCTCATGGACTTTCCTGCCTAGTTTGGCTTTGAACCGAAATCCTCAGATCTCAGGAGTAGCTAGGATTACAGGTGTGAGCCACTTGCACCTGGCTTCAAACAGCTGATTTCTAAATTATTCTGTAGGTAATATGGTAAATATTACATTGAATCCCCAAAATACCATTATCACAGTATATCGACTGAAAATTGATTTTGTTATTGTTATTGTCAGTATTGGAGTTTGAACTCAGACCCTCAGCTTGCTTAGCTTGCTTACTCAGCTAGCATGCTAGGCTGACATTGTTCTACTTGAGCCACAGCTCTAGCTTGAGTTTTTACTGGTTATGTTGGAGATTAATCTTCTGCCCAGGCTCTCTTTGAATTTTAGTCCTCCAGGTTGCAACCTCTTCCGTGGCTAGGATTACAGGGATGAGTCACCGGTAGATCCTTAGGGATCCTTGTATTTTTGAGTACAGTTTGAAAGTTTGTAATGGTCTCTGGCCTTACTTAAATGAACTTTAGTTAGTAAGTCCCTTGTAAGTTGTGAACATTGCCCTGAGGACCCGTAACCTAGGATTGTTTCACTAGCTTCTCTGACCCTTTTTTGAAATGAAAATTTCTTAAGACTTAAACTTTGGAGAATCGTGGTTGAGGTAGGATAGTCACTCCTGCTTAATGAATTAGTTTATGCTCTGTTACTTTACCCATTCCTGGGAGAAAGAAAAAGGAACGAAAACAAAACCCCAGTAACCTGGTGCTCAACTTGAAAACCTCCTCATTGCTTGGATTACAGATGTGCAGTTGCTGTGGATTACAGATTACCTTGCCTGACTCAGTCTACTTTTTTTTTTTTTTAAGGGAGTGTCTGGCCTCCGGTAAATGAAAAACATTGGAGTGTAAGACTGAGAAGGTAACGCAACGTGCAGAAATAGGGAGAGGTTATGGAGAACTAAGGAGAGATTAGAAGAGTTCTGCTGAGGCCAGATTGATTCCTCTTCCTACATATGGACCTAAGGCTTTCCCTTTGTGCCCTTGGAAATGCCTTAGATAGGAGATGGACATAGGAGGATTGGGGAGTGGTTCAGAGGCTGCTGTGAGGCTCAGAGAAAGGAGATAGATTGTTTTGCTTGAATTTGGGATACTCCTATTTTCCCAGCTGAGGGGAGAGGAAGCACTTCTGTCATTTAGAGTGCCAGCTTTCAATGGTTGCTTCCCTGTATGTGTGAAATTTGGTCTGGTGTAAGATTCAATGTGATGGTGCTGGTTGGTGATGGTAACCCGCATGCCCTTGATTTAATGTGGATAATGTAGTAGTGCTTCTCAAAATTCACTCACACATGTGTACTTTAAATTTTTCAGATGGATTCATGATTTTACTTAAGTAGGTTTGTCTTCATTGTAGATACTTTTATTTATGAAGTCATTGATGGTGTTGGATATAATAAACTGTCTACTAAAAATAATTTAGGGGCTGGGAATGTGGCTTAGTGGTAGAGTGCTTGCCTAACATGCATGAAGCCCTGGGTTTGATTTCTTAGTACCACATAAGCAGAAAAAATTGGAAGTGGGGTTGTGGCTCAAGTGGTAGAGGTCTAGCCTTGAGCAAAAGAAGCTCAGGGACAGTCCCTAGACCCTGAGTTTAACCTCCAGGTCTGGCAAAAAAAAAAGTTAAAACAATAATAATTTAGGGGCTAGGGAAGTAACTCAGTGATAGAGTCATTTGCCTGGCAGGTACAAGTTCCTGGTTCTATCTCCTGTAAACAAAAACAAAAACAAAAAATAATTTCTAGTAGCTATTGAAATACTAGTTTATGTACTAACTAAAATTATTCATATCAGTGGTATGGGAACTATTTTGGTTTTGATGGTTTCACTTGTGATTTTATGCCATTTAGCATTCATTTCCCTATTGGAAAATAAAAGTTATTTCTGATTAACACATGTGATGGGAGAACAGAATAGAAATACAAATCTTGATTACTGATATTTTAGCTCACATTTGGTAAAAGATTAGGCTGAGACAACTAGATTATAGTTTGACAGCATATTTAAAGTATAGTTAGGGGGGAATAACACTTAAAAAGGAAATGTACTGGGCTGGGAAGGTGGCTCAGTGGTAGAGCGCTTGCCTTGCATGCATGAGGCCCTGGGTTCCATTCCTTAGCACCACATAAGCAGAAAAAAAAAGCCAGAAGTGGCACTGTGGCTCAAATGGTAGAGTGCTAGCCTTAAGCTGAAGAGCTGAGGGACCGCGCCCAGGCCCAGAGTTCAGACCCCATGACCGGACCCCACCCCCCCAAAAAAAGAAATGTACTCATTAACTTATGTAACTGTAACCCCTTTGTATATCACTTTTACAATGAAACTTTAAAAAAAAGTGTAATTGGGAAAGGTGTGTGTGTGTGGTGGGGAGTAATTTATGTGTTGTTGTAGCTTGGAACCCTTGAACTTGGTAGGCAAGCCACGTACCCTGAGCTGCATAGCCCAACCCATCCCTTAAAAGTTCTGAAGTGCTTGTGCTCTCCAGAAATGACACCCAAGGAATTTTCTAAATTTAAATTGTTTAT